CTTACCAAAAGCATTTCAACCTTTATTTAACCTCTGGATGATAGCTGGTAAATTATTACTTTATTTATTATTTCATTTAAAATATTTTACGCCACTTTCCTCCTCAAAAAGGACCCAAGTTGGCTCACAACAATGAAATACTATATTTAAAGTTGAAAACAATGAGTATGCAACGGTGGTTGACATCATTAAAAGACAGTATTTAAAATTACAAACAATAAGGAGGGATATTACATCATTAACAGGCAATATTAAGAGAAGGATCAATAAATAAATAAAAATTGCTTTAAATGTCACTCTGAGACATGGAAAACATAACAATGGAAAACACAAGTAGTACTAAAAATCCAGTCAAACCAGTAATGCATAACAATCTATCTAAAAATCACACACATGTAGCTGGTTACTGAGGGAAGGCTTACCTAAGGAGAAAGGTCTTTGCCTACTTGTGGAAGGACAGCAAAGATGGGGCCAGTCTAGCCTCCTGTGGGAGGGAGTTCCAAAGTCTGGGTGCAGCAACAGAGAAGACTCTCTCCTGTGTCCCCATCAGCAAATCACCAAGTTATGTGAGGAGGAAAGCACATGACATCAACAGATTAACACTTCTTCTTACTCAAAACATGGGTACATTGATGCACTTCTCGCACCTTAACTTGTGTCCCAAATAAACACAAAAAGTTCCTTACCGGAGGGGGGGATCTATTTATGTAAGACAAAGCCTATTAAAATCAAGGAAACCTCTTCCCTCCAAATACAGATTACCAGGACTGGGATAGGAAAGTTCACATTACTGTGAATAAGACTGCCATATCTACTATATAATAAGTTGGGTGACTTAGAGGGATTGTTCTGTAGTATTTACTTGAGGTGGGAGTTGTATATCATGTTGGCATAAGGAGGAGGGTTGATCTGTGTTCTCAGTCTTTATCTTTGGAAATGCAGGTTCAATCATAAATATTTGATATATTTGCGAAGGCTTTCACAGCGAATATTTGATTTAAAATAAATATTTTTCCTTATTTTGGAAATCTCCCTTCTTTTGGAACACGTAGACAACAGTGTTGAGAACAGAAAATCTTTCTTCGCTGACTAACGTATGGTAAGAGAATGTTAAAGTCACTGTATAAACAAAGAAAGCAACAGCATCAAAGCGTCTTGGACTCAAGGAACAATGTAAATCAATAAATAAACAATTTTATTTTCGAAACACTCAGATGTCCAAGGGTACTTCATCCACGTGTGTGTGCCTTTTACCTGTTTTAGACAACACTAGTGTTTTGCCCTCTTATTTTCAGTCAAAATTGCCCACACAGGTAAAAGGCACAAATGAAGATGATCAGGTGGCGGAATTGAGAGGTAGCACTGCAGCTTCACTGAAAAACATCCGTAAAGAGGAAGGAAAAGGAATGCGCTGTCTTCCGTTTGTTTCTTTGAAGGTCATAACAGCAAAACCTCTCATCAGCCATAACTGTATGGTGACAAGAGCAATCATATAATTAAATCTTTCTGTTTAAGATGCTATAATCCAACCAGATGAAAGTATTAACATATTTTCATGCATTTGTGCATGGTACCATTTGCTTCTTACTGTTCTACACTACATAGGAGTGTTCAAATTAACAGCTTTATCCTAGACTTATGCGATACACTTCACTGGTATGAAGGATAAGATTTATTTGCATAAATCCCAATGTATGTTCCTATGTACTTTTTTGATAGGAAAGCAAAATACAATGCTTTGCAAGTTCTTGCAGTAAATGGCTCTTTATTCTGCAATTTTCCTGAACAGCATGTGAATTCCCTGGGGTAACAAAGGCCATTTACCACACAGTAAGCATTTTGTGAGAACATGAACAAAGGTTATAATCTTTATAGCCTCATCCCTAGCCCCTAGCCTGTAAAGGAAATAGGGTTGTCACCAGCCCTGCTGTTCTCAGCTTGAGACAATAAAGTAATGGAATAGGACTCAGAGTCCTTTGATCTTCGCAGTAAGTGATCAGAGAGAGGAAATCTTCTCAGGGCCTGGAGACTGGTTTCTTTAATGGTTTTAGCAGACCCTTGTAAAGTGCCCTCCAAGCAGGAGGCTGCCATGACACTGTAGCAGGCAAAAATCTGCCCATACAGGTGTGACATGAATGTAACCACAACTGAAATGTTAGGGTAGGTGGTTGTATATACTGTTTATAGACAGTTGATGGGTTGGCTTCAGAACAATAGATGCAGAAATAGTCTTATGGTTTAATTGGTCTACTATGCCATTAATATTAATGCCATGAAGCACTATGTATCATGTTGAGTGTTCATCCCATGGTAATCTAACATTTTGAATTACACAGGGTTCTTTTTCAATCCAAATATATAATGGTCCAGTAAAAGGTACCACCTTACAAATTTAGCTTTTACAACTCTTTGGGCAAAATTAAAAGGTGTATGGACCGGAAAGATTTAAAGTCCTCATGTTTGGGTCAAAATATGTCTGGTTAAGCACTAATCATGATGACTAAGAGGAAATGAAAATGTCTTTATTACTTCCTTGAGGGCTTGTGGTTACTTCTCAAAGAAGCTTGTTTAAAAACTGACCACAGACTCTAGTGGCAACCCCCCTTTTCTCCTCCCCCAGATCTTAACAACCTTGCTTCAATGATACATAGGTGGATATTCAAGCTTGCTTTGTGAGTAGAAAAGATCTCTTGGACTTGAGGTTCCCTGCAGTGCCTCAGTCACTGGAGATGAAGGCTGTGCTCACTTGGTGAAAGTCTTTCACCAATTACATGGAGTAATCTCTAAGCATTTTTACCTAATAATGTTTATAACAAATTAAACAACTGTAAATATATTGCCCCTTTGCGATGCAACAAATGTTGCTGCCTGAGGTAGCTTAGCCATGATTTTCATTGGTATTATGTGCAGGGTAGAACTGTTTATTTTCAAAAGAAATTTAAAACTGTTTAAAGTGTTTTTGAAATTGTGTGTTTTTCAGTGTGTAAACTGCATTAGTTTGTAATGTTATTTAATTTATTTACCCTGTCCTGAGATCTCTTGTTAGACAGACAGACAGACAGATATATAATGTCCACTTTTTTTACTATAATGAAAAATCTAATTCCTTCTACTTCGAAGTTTTGTTCCTCTCTTAGGGCCAATAATTTGTACTGTACAGGGTGACACATGATGGCACAGTCAAACTAGGTTCAGCATCCTGCAAGGATTCTACAGCTGTCATTGAGTGCTACATATGTCTGTTTTGCATGGGCAGAACTATACCACACTACGTAGGCTGGCCTATTTACCTATGTAGTAACACAGGGTCAAGAAGACAGTTGCTCTTGTGAGTATGTATCTCAGGTGGCTCCCGATAGCTTTTAAATACTGCTGTTTCGAACAATATCGTTCCAATTAAAATTTAAAAACAGTTGTATAGATAAAGGTAAAGGTTCCCCTTGACATTTAGTCCAGTCGTGTCAGACTCTAGGGCGCGGTGCTCACCCGTTTCCAAGCCATAGAGCCAGGGTTTGTCTGAAGACAGTTTCCGAGGTCACGTGGCCAGCACAACTAGACACGGAACGCCATTACCTTCCCACCATGGTGGTACCTATTTATCTACTCGCATTTGCATGCTTTCGAATTGCTAGGTTGGCGGGAGCTGAGACAAGCGACGGGGGCTCACTCCGTCGTGTGGCTTTGATCTAACTGCTGGTCTTCCAACCTTGCAGCACAGAGGCTTGTAGTATACAAACGTTTAAATACATTATTTAAAACTATAAATCAGATTTTAAAAGACATCTCCATCTCATTTGCCTGCTGACTTCCCAAAAGTCTGTCTAAATGGGTAAGTTTTCACCTGCTGGAAGAAAGAAAGGAACAAAGGAGCAAACAGCAGCTACAAAATAAGTGCTCTTTGGAGTTCCCAATAGATTTACTTGTGAAAATGGTGACGTCCAAGGAAAATACCCCCCTAAGGATTTTAATACACATGGGAATACATACAGGGAAATATGGTCTTTTAAATAACCTGGACTTAAGCTTTAAAGGGCTCTTTACAGGTCATACCACTCTGTTTTACAAGATCTTAGGGCAGAGTACAATGAAAACAGATTAAAACATACAAAACAATTTATCAATTACACAGCTTAAAACATAATAAAATTAAGCAACTGAAAACTATTTGAAAGAATACCCTCGCAATACACATTTATTCATTTTATTTTAAATATTTTTACCCTGCCTTTCTCTTTCAAAAGAACCTAAGGCGGCTTCCATCATTAACTGACACACTAAGTATACAAATACTAAAAAGGATCCAACAAATATCCTAAAATTAGTAAACAAAAGCAACACCAAAAAACAAAATGCAGTTTGCAAACTATAAACCCAATATAACTTTAAATACTGTTTAACTGCATCCTGAGAGCAATGCAACTGATTAATAAAACATGGATTGCAATGCAAACTGGGGATGTGATAAATTTTACTTTTTCATTTAACTATATAGCATGGTAGCCGTTAGTACTGTGTAAGTTCCTCTCCAGCTTGTGGAGGGAGCATTTTATGTGTGCTTGCTGGAAAGCTTTCAGTGTGCATTTGTTGAACCCAACTTTTAAAGATTTTGAGCGTTGTGCCCCAAAACAATTGTGTGTGTGTGTGCTAGTGCTCACAACGTCCTCCTCATTAAAAGGTGGGCAAGATTTATGTACGCGTGATCAGACCTTGAGTGGGTGAGAAGAGAACTAGCGTTAAACCAGAACGTTACAGCAACGCGAGTAGATGCGTTTCTCCTCAGTAGTATGCCCCATAGAACTCAACGCAGGTTTACTGCTACGTGAATTTAGACCCAAACGAAACAATCGCCCTTCTGACTAGAGCTTGGGATATTCTGCGGACGCCGTGAGGGAGAAAGTCACCTCAGCCTTCCTGCAGGCGTCGCTCGCCAACCAAGGCAGGTAATTCGAAAGAAGAGGGAAGAAGTAAGTACAAACGGGCGGGTAAAGGAGTGGGTTCCGGCCTGCCTTGCAGGGAGCGGGATGCTCCTCCCGGCCGGAAGCTCCTCCTCATCCCGGGTGTGTGTGTGTAAGGGGTGGAGTGAGAAGAGTGCGGTGGCCGCTGGCAGCCCCGGGTGCAGGGAGTTGGGTGGCGGTTCCCTGAGCAGCATGGCGTGAAGGCGGGTGCTGCCCGGGCTTTGAGCTGGTGGCGCGCCGCGGAAGGGGAGAGCGCACAGAGAGAGAGAGAGCGCAGAAAGAGATGGCCGCGGCGATGGCGCGGGGGCTTCAGCTCCTGCTGCTTCTCGGTGAGTCTGAGGGAACGAGACGAGGAGGGCTTGGCCGGCCGCCCGCCCTCCCTGACCTGGCTTCGGGGAGGCGAGGCCGGGCCCCTCGAGGCGCCCCCGGGGGTGTGTGTGCCTTCCCTTTTGCGCAAGGCTGCGAAGGGCGGCGCGGCTCTGCGCCTGGAGAGGGGTGGGGGGTGCGCGGGGAGAAGGAGCCGCAGGAATGTAACTGAAGAGGAAAGAAACTCGCGTTCCTCGTTTTTTGGGGGGAGGGTCTATTCTGCCCCCCCACCCCCCAAGGAGGGAGCTCGTGCTTAGGAACCACCAGCCCCCCGGGGCGCCCAGCCCTGGAGACCGAGGCAACCTGAGCGACTCTCCCGGGGTCG